GTTAGAAATAAAAAGATTTAATTTTTGAGTTAAAAGTCTTAAGCTTATCGAGAGCCTTTAACCTGTTAACTGTGACATTTAATTTCAGAAATCTCTGATAATGCTCGCAATAAAGTCAAATAATGAAGTGAATACTCGTCTAACATATGCCAAATACACCTATAATATATTCAAACGAAAAGTTAAAGCAAATCGAAGAAGAATGATATGTTTATCTAAAAAGATAAATAATTTATAGTTCAAAGAATTAGTATCATTTTACTTTTAAGACGACGTGTATACTCGTCAAACGCGTTGTCTTTTCATACATCCGCCATGCTAAATTTTTCGTTTCTTGGGGTGGATTTGGTTTTACTTCTTCATAATTGTAACCTGATCCCGTTGAGTTTTGCAATTATACAATGCTCACTTATGCCGCTGTGGTGCGGGCGCGAGTGATGCGCCCTACGTTCGTTCGGTAACTTGAACGCCTGGGCAGACGAGCAGCCGCGCAACAATGGCAACGCACAGTTGTCTGGAAGTCCGTTTTTTGTGGCCAAAATTCAAAAGTCATGCAAATTTTATGAAAATTCGTAATTAGAGGATTTTGGTGTCAGTGATGACGAATCTAGCACCAAAAATTTAAAATTCCAGATGGCGGATTCAGTATCGTGCATCCGTGATATAGAAATTCGTTTTGCACGGCTGAAATTGAAAGAATCTTTGTATTGTATATTTTAGTTTCTGTGATTATTATAAATAATATAAATAAGAAATAACCAAGAAATAAGAATATATAATACAAAACATAAAATATAAATCATAAAATACAAAATATTCCACTAAAATTATTCTAGGTTTTCCAATTCAAAGTTATCTAAATATGGGAAAAGTGGCAGATGGTGGCACTTAAAATTTACATATTCTTCCTCTGTAATGCTTATATTTTCATATAAAAGTATCTTCATATCTAGCAGTCGCTAGCATTTCTTTAAAACCCTTCCCAAAGTTCAAATTGTTATAACCATTACATTGTTTTCACATAAATTAATAAATGCTTACAACGTCATTGAATAATCACGATATAATTATCATCACTCATATAAGTGTCTTCAAAACCTGTTATTCAGTAACCTACATTAAATATTTGGAGAAATTAGTTTCATTTTAAATATTAGAATTTTCGCTTTAACACGTTATACTCGATCACACGACCATCTGAAACGGATAACATTTTGGATTTCTGAGTTTTACAGTATCCTTACTTTATACAGACAAAAATATTTCCAAAATAATTAAACGTAATTAATATTAAATGGACATAAATTAACTTTAATTAAATAATTAAACTTGAAAAAATTAATTTTGGACAAGAAAAATGAATTTTTAGACCACTGTTCGCCTTAGCAAGTGAGCAGCCGTGCATCGATGGCAACGCGACGATCGCGTCCCGAGAGCGCAGCCCGAGTCCGCGCTCCTAAATATTGATTTCGAAATAACCGCAATTATCCGAGCGACGTAAAGTCCGCCGGCGGAGCATT